CAGATAATTTTTCATTTCAAATAGATTTAAAAATACTATTCCCTGTGATCTGGTAGAGACAGTAACTGCTTACTGATAACTGCAGAGCAGTTATCAAACAAAGCCTGTGGAGCAGGAGCATGGCATGCCAAGCTGCTAAGAGGCACTTTATGCCTTAGCAGTACCTATGCAGAAGAACCCCACCTTTGCTGCCTCCCAGCAGGGCGCAGCCCCAGGGGAGGTAGTCTTCTAGTGACACTGCAAATGGGCAGAACTCTGGTGAAGCACATGCTGGTCACCCTCTGGGGCCTCAGTGCTGGTCCTGACACCGCTCAGTGTCTACCTGAATCACACAAAACAAGCTCTGTACCCTTTGCTAGTTCTGAGACACACAGGTAGACAATGAGACACATGGAAGAGCTGTGGGACTATGAAATGGGGCTGGGGAAGAGAATGGATGACCATCTCTGATAGGGTGTCCAGCAGGAATTTTAGATGTCTCTGCCAGGGAAACATCCCTTGGAAGATGGCAGGCACCTACTGCTGTAAGGACCTTGTAGAAAACGTCTGACTGAAGTAGGACTTAATGGTGGAAGTCTTAGCCACCATGAAACACCAACTTCTGCAAGGATCTTCCTGGTGCAGAAAGTAGCAGCCTTAGGGCTGTGGGCTGACCTGTGCCACCATCTCCTTCCACTCCAGGATAGCCATTAAAGTCCAGGATGAAAATCCTCCTTTTCCTCCCTTCTTCACAGCAAAAAACCATTTCAAAACCAGGCTCCCCAGAAGGGGAACTGTGGAGCAGGGGCTCATGAGGAGAGACTGGGTAGCAAAGTTATCAGCTAACATGCCAGAACAGCTACAGAGAGCAGGCAATGAGTGGCCATCTCATGCCTGCAATAGAAGAGGAAAGAAGAGCCCATAGGATATATCTGAAAGGAAAAGACAAAGTTTATTGCTTATTCCTTCAGTGTTCCAAATGGGGTGCTTATCTAGGTTGCTGAAGGCCTGCACCAAGTGAAACAGTGGCATTGTGGCCTGCACACAAGCAGCCTTAGTATCCAGTGAGGGAGGGACAAGCCACTGACACGTGGTAATGAACTCAAGAACTCAAAGTGTCAAAACAGGCAGGTCTGGTGCTCTTCAGTCTTGGTGCTCAGCTTTGCACCCCTCAAAGGAGTAAAGCCTTCATTACAGGTTGTAGTTATTTCCAGAGCTACAGCTGTGGGACCTGGGATAACAATGGCATCCTGCTTTCACAGCATGCACAGACATAGTGTGCTCTGTGCACAGGGAAGAGTGTGGAGCACTTGGCCTCAGAAAGCCAGCAGCCCTCATTTGAAAAGCTGCTGGGAACAAGCCTGTTTCACCAAGTCCAATCACTTGGACTGTCTGCCCCTTCAGGACATCCTCACTTGCTTTAGTCTTTCTCTCTTCACCCCAGTGATTACAAATGAAGAGGAAAGCAAAGAACAGAGCAAAGAAATGAACCTGGAGAACAGCTGACAGCATTTTTGCTCAGCACAATGCACTCACATGGCAGGACACAGGTGCCTACAAAGAGAGGGGGCCTAGAACAACTTGATGCAAACAGTAGCCTTAAGCTACTCGTGTCAAAGTGTCCAAGAGAGTGCAATGGCTTTGAGGAATCATCCAGCAATGTCTCACGATCCCCTGCTACCTTCCTCATTAAACCTCAAACAAAGCTGCAGGGTGTGCTAGTGCACTCCAGCTAGGCTTTCCCATGGGGAGAAGGGAAAAGCTGGAGTCAAAGACAGTGCAAAGGGCTAGATTCAGTGCTAAGACTTGAAAATGGCAATAAAAGGAAAAAGCAGCAGTTGGAGGAGAAACAGTACAGACCCCCTTTTGTCAGCAAGTAACACACAAAATTTGGCATAGAATGCTGCTGAGATAGTAGTAAAGAGCAAGCAACAACAGCTTTCCCCCCCAAGTGTATACCCTTTTCTCTGAAGGTTGAGCACTTCAGTGGCAGGGATAGTTGCCCAGCCAGCTCAGTGCATCAGAAACAGCCACTACAGGCTAGCAGGCCAGCTGGAAAGCAGGAAGTGCCTGGAGCAAGCTTTAGAGCTCACCCAGCACTGGTGGCACAGACAGTTCCCCTAGGTTCCCAAGCTTGAACATGAGCATACCGAGAACTAAAAGGCAAGGGAGCATGATAGCAGGTTTTGTCGTCATAACTTTATGACTGGGATTTCAGCATTCCCATAAAGGGCAGGAAGAGTGGGGAAAAGCATGAAAGTGAACTCCTGGTGATCTCTCCTGATGTAGCTGAGCAAAGCCCAGGAATCTTCTAAATGCCACTTTAGGAGGACAATTTTCTCAGAAGCAAAGCTATGCTCAGCTGGGGGGCAGGATGAATCCTTAGCAAGGAGACAAGTATTTTCAGTTTTTGCACTAAGGACTGTTCCTGTCTGAAATTAGGCCTAAAGACTTGCTGAAAAACCTTTTTGAAACATCTGCTACTCCTTACAGTATAAATTTTGGATTTGAGAGGTCTTTTGGGAGTGGGGTGGGTGTGGACATGACACATGGGGGAAGAGGGAACACACAGGGAGAATCTGCCTGTGAGAGACAACTTGTTCTGGCAGCAATAAAATCATGTGATCATAGGCAGGCCATAAAAACACCTGAATCATCCATAACCCTTTAGATATATCTATTTATCAATTATTTTTTCCAACATATTTCGCTTCAGTATTGCACTGGTTTCAAGAGAAAGAGGCAGGCCAATATGCGGATGCTTCTTGTGGTTCTCCAGCCTGCATTTAATTAATTTTGAGTTGCTTTAAAAATAATTTAGGACAGTGCTTCCACAGCACACTGCTGAAGTATGACACAGTTCATGCTTTTGCTTCCCAGAACATGTGCAAAGCTCTCACCTCTGCCCGGCTGTTACCGAAAACCCCCACAACCCAGTCTCTGTGCTGAGAGGAAGAAATCAAACATGAGACATTTCTTTTCTTCCCTGCCCACCCCTCCCCTTTCCAGCAATCCTTTTCCCTGTCACCTACTTCTGTTTAAAACTCTTTCAAACAAAGATGTTCATAGTTAATATGTCACATGAGGAAACCGTGCCAGCTCCTGCGATGGGCAGACAGCTGGGACGGGCTCTCCAAGTCACACCATTAGTCAGGGTGCTGACAGCTTCACATGCTGAACTTCTCACATCAGGAAACAAAGTCACCAATTTGTTGTTTTTAATAAAATAATTGCTTTAATGCAGTATTTAAAATAATTTTTAACATCTGATCAATAAGATAACAGTACACAAATATGGAAAATGCTGCACTTTACGTAAAAAGTAAAGCTAAGCATTTAATAATACAAAACAATTTTGCCCAATGCCATCAATATCTTGCAAACTATAGTCAAAGTACTGCTTTTCTTATATATATATATATGCTATATATACATATATAAATAATTTACAGCATTCATTTACTAGATTTGTTTACTACAGTTCCGACAAAAACCAACATAACCAATTCACAGCTTTGTGAATTTGGTAACCATCTACAGTGGTTCTGACAGTGCAGAATAGTTGTGTGAATAGTTGCTTCAAGTTTTGAAGCAGCATGCCAAGTAACCCTAGGAAGCTTGTTTCTTGTCAAAGAAAAGAAAATTCAGCAGGAAGCCATTCAACAGTTGGTTAGAGCATGGTGCAAATAATGTTCTGTGATTGATCCCTGTACAGGCAGTTCACTTTAGAGCTGGACTTGATGATCCTTGGGGGGTGGGGTCCCTTCCAACTCAGGATATTCTGTGATTCTGTGAATGCAGTCAGTGTCTTTCCCACCAGTCCTGGGAAACAGCCATGCTATACAGCACTGTGTCATGAAAGGCAACATATTTGGAGCCTGAGGAGGAGGGTGACCCAGAGGGCTTTCCTTCCACCACAAGGCAGTCTTTACCAGCAAGTAGACAATCTTTGAACCTGTTCTAACAGTCTTTATAATCCAGAGTCCTCCTTCTCACTGAATGGGAACAAAGCAACTGTCTAAATACTTTCTATTTGAGAAGCTTCCCTGTTAGACCACATTAAAGTATTAAAACAATATTCTAAAGCAGTGAATCCTGTGCTTTGCAAACACTGCTCCTATCCAAGGAGAGTGTTCAGCTCCAGAGTTTCAATGCATCTTAACTTTTTCCTTTTTTGTAGTCAGAACAGGTTTTGTTAATATCTTTCCACATTTATGCTCAAGTTCAATGCTATTTTTTGTATCCACAGAAAGACAAACTGTTTTTTCTGTTTACCCTCCCTTTTTAGGATCTTTTACTCATTTTATTTTTAGTAACTTCAAATTTTCCATGACCATTCAAATATGCCCTAACTACACTGTGTGATGTACTTCAATCACAAGAATGACTGATTTGTCCTCCTTCCCTCAGTCCCTTTCTGAGGAAAGGCTGAGGGCAACTGAGGCAAAGTGTGGGGTAGAAAGGGCCCCTCATTCCTTTTGCTTGCTACTTTGATCTCCACAACTGAGCATCCAGTAGTAATTCTAAGCCCAGAAAATTTACGATGTTGAGTCACACAGGCAATACATTAGTGTGTTTACTGGCTGCTGGTTCATGATTAAATACAGTTGCCATGCTATGCTGTGCCATTATGATGATATTTGTTTCCCTAAATAAGATGGGGTTGGAAGGTGGCACTACACATAGAACAGATGTTGCAGACTCTGGAGTACTGAAGCAAGTGGCATTCATAAACTAGGGACATTCATCAAGCCCTCAGAGCTTTTAAGACAGTTAAATGTAAGCAGAGAGGTGCTTATGTGTGCAGCTCAGTGTTTTCACTGGTTTACAGACAGATTTAAGCCAAGTATTATTAAAAACCTTATAGGTGCTAAGTTAGGTATTTAATAAAAATGTTTATCTGTAAACAAGAGTTATCCTTACAACGGATCATTTTCCAGAAACTGGAATTTCAAGACAGTGCAACAATGCTTCAGTGTTATCTTTGGCAGTAGACAGCACGGTGAAATGCAAGATTCAAATCACTTCAGAAGGGCACGGTACAAGCGTAGAGAATGCTTCATCTCCCTCTCTTGTTCCATGCAGAATATCAAGTCCCTGAGACAGACACGGGTTACTCTTGGACAGAGGATCTGCTTCGTAAGGCTAAAACCTGATGATCCAGCAATTCCATTGCCATTCAAACCCTAAATGGAGGAGAGAGGAAGAAAAAACCCATCAGAAACATTAGGATTTCATGTAAATAGAAGTTTTAACTAAACTGGTTGGATTATACTGCCTACTTCTATAAAACTAGCCCACTGGTGTTCAGCTTTCCTCGTTGAAAACCAGCAACCCAAAAATCCTTGCAGATTAGATGCTGAAAAAGACAAAGCAAGTGCTTGCCAGCTGATGGTTTATTTCAGTCAAAGCAACCGCAAAGTTCTTTCTTCCTTTAAAATTATACTAATATGGTAAGATAAATAACTGCTGTTTCACTGAAGTCTGCTAAATAGACTTGCACTGAGAAAGGATCGGGCAGCTACGAAGAAGGTACTAACACAGTACCTATGCAGAGTCCCAGGTTGTGCACAGCTCTTACTAGTGCTTGCTCCAGAGGTTTCCATCTCTTCATGAGGAAAACTGTCACTGTGAGTGCACCCTAACTTTGGAACATGGCCAGGAGAAACTCATCCCAGCCATCATCTGTGCTCTGTCCTTTAAGAGGGCAACACATACTCAGTGAAAGCATCCAGATATTCAGAACTCTGTATCTGAGCCTATCCACCTCAGTCAGCTGCCTTGCTTGGTTATGAAAATACAATTGGTAGGAGATGATGACATTTAGTAGTTTTACATTCAAGCTGCTGGAATGAGCAACCCCCACGCTTTCCAAAATGCCCCAAGATTTATTATTAGGGGTGGGGAAGAGGAAGATTACCATGAGCTGCACAATAGACTGGCTACTTATCTTGGAGCCAATCTGTGCTGCACAGCCAGTCTCTTATCACTACTGGAGGGTTCTTGGTAATGAATGTAATTTGTACAAATACGAGTGCTCAGTCTCTGTAACTTCAGCAAGGCAATGCCTGCCAGCATCAACACCACTTGGAGATGGTGTTGCTTGGATGCAGTGTTAACTATATCAATTCTTACCCTAACACTCTGCAAGACTTCAGCAAAATGACTTTGCCCACTTTGCTTAGAGAAATCTGTTTAAACTCCCCATTTATTAGAAATGACTATCAGTGCTGGACTACATATAGCAGCAAATGCTACTGTTTTTAGGGTGGAAGCATTGATATTTATTAAAAATATAAAGAGATTCACCAGAGAGCACAGGCTGGCCACAGAAAACCCAGGGCACATTGCAGAAATGGAAGCTGTATTTTTTTACAAGCAGCACGCAGGGTATTCAGCACCATTTCATTTGCTTTACAGTCAATACTATTAAACACTACGAAATGCCATCATTTGAAACTTTCAGTTTGTTAAATGGCTTGGAACAAATGTGTGCATGGGGAAGACTGCTGGCCACATTGCACAGAGGGCACTGCTGTCCTGGTAAGACACAAAAGGGTCACAGTTCAAGTTTGTCATATGACAACCCTGAAGGATCCAGGGAAAAGATAGCTCTGCAATGCAGCTGCCAGCACGGGTTGAAAAGGAGGTCAGTCCAACAGGATGCAGCAGAAGGCCCGAGGCAATGTTATAAATGAAACAAACCCCAAGGGTTTTCAGTAACCCAACAGCAATGTCCTTTATAATTCAAAGAACTTTATTGAGGTGAAAGTATTTTCTCTCTAAATAAGTCATTAGACTGGAAGTCTTACCTTTAAAAAGACACCAAACAAAGCCACTTCAATCCTGTTCACTCTTACAAAAAGGGAGACAGACGGCACAAATCACCCAGCCCACTTTGGAAGCTGCTGTTGCTGCTGTAGCTGCAAGATGCTACAACAGAGCAGAAGCTGCTTGAGTTTGAGACAGTTATGGATTTGTTTATTCTTAAATTCCTACCCATCATGCCCAGTGCAGAGACATAAAGCGGTATTACACATCCAAAGACAAAGCTTGTCCTGGGCCCCTGTTTACTGAGACAGCCATTCACAGTTCTAAGTTTCCCATAGCATCACTCTGGCTTATCAAAGCTACCGAGCACAGCATTTCAGGGGCCAAGGAGCTCTTTGACAACCAGCTGTAGCTCTTACCATAAGTTAAAACAAAGTGTCCTTCTCTCAAAGTACATGATGGTTTAAAATTAAAGAAGCCAACAGACAGCCTAGGTCATTCCAGTCCAGATAGGGACCATGCTGGGGAACCCACTTTTAAGTGAATTTATGCAGTGCTGAGCACTATCTCCTGTTAGCTACAGTCTCCCACAGTTGTATTGAAACACTGTTTTTTCCTGGTTTTGTTTTGGAACTTAGACCAGGCAGTGGTCCAAGATCTGCACATCCCAAAGAACCATCACAGAGCCCTCTGTTAATGTCCAAGACTTTACTTATGAAATGCCCAGCTCTGAGCTCTCAAGCTGACACAAGGGACACTTTAGGGGAGGGTCCTCTGCTGCTTCACTTGAGCAAATTCCTATTGGGCAGGAGATCAACTTTGTCTGGCCCTAGGCAACAGTCAATAATCCTCTCCTTTAGACCTCACATACCCCATCCTCAGAAGCACAAAATTTTTGAGACCTGAAAACCACCAGCTGACTCCTTGCTCCCAGACATCTCTATTATGCTCCTCCCATTCGGGCAGCAACCACTTGTGTCTTGCTGTTTTGGGGGATTCTTCACTGCTAGTCTTCAGCATACCCTAAGATAGCTTTGTCCATTTCTAGGGGAAAAGTGCTGCTTTTCAACCAGGTCACAGACAAGTACAAAGATAAACAAATAGAAAATGCATCCCTGTAGAATCAATTCTAACAAAGGGTACTGCAAACAGCCTGCATCCCCCTTCTGCAATATCTAATTATTAGTGCTCTAACTAGCAACTTCTTTAACTTCTTTTTTTCTCGTGCCTTTTTTTTTTTTTTTTTTAATCACCTTGAAGTTCCTGCCTTTCAGTAAACCCTCACCACCCTGCCCTCCTTCCAAAAGGGAAATGACAGACACACGCAGTCCAGGAGGGCCAACTACCAGTGTAGATTCTACCAGTCAGCCTGGGTATCACAGCTGACAGGCCCTGTTTGTAAGCCAGGTGAGGCACTACAGCAGTGTAACTGCACCACCATAAACCACCCATCCCAGTACTGAGACAACAACTGGCTTAAAATCAGCCCCAGGAGGTCACAACAGCAGCAGTCCTGCTTTTGAACTATCCTCAGAATTGAGCCCAAATCAGCAACTTTTCCACAGCAGCACACTGTCACCCTTAGAGCCTTTTATAAACACCTGACAGAGATCAATTACACTCACTTGGCAGCAGAACCCATTGTGGTGCTCCTGCTGTAGTCCCAAGCTGTTGAACAGCCAGTTTCATTCAGAGGTGCTCTGGAAACCTGTTTAAAGATCTCTAGAGCTCTCTCCAGTGGCTGGATGGAGAATGATATACCAATTCTCTGAGAAGGCAAGCGTGAAGTTACTACAGAGTCACCTTACTTCTAGTCTGCAAGGTATCTGGAGCTTGGCATCTGCAAGTTTGGATCATGGATACCAACAAGGATTTCAAAACTGCTCAGAGTTATTCTACAGGCCTTGACACAAAGCTCCTAGAGGTCTGCAAACCTCTCCCTCCCTACCAAGTTCCAGTCAGGTTCAGTGAGCTGCTCCTGGTGGAGTACACACCCCCTTCCCAAATTCAATGACTTCACACCAACCAAAATTCAAAATTTTAAACTCTTGGGAAGGAAACACTTTAAGGGAGAAAAGTACTCAGTCAAACATTCTAAAGTCAAGCAAAGAGTTCTCATTTCAATTTTTGGTGTGGCATAAACATATCACAGGCTCAGAGCCAAGATCCTGAGACAGCAAATTGTTATTGCAGCTCTGCTGCACATTATAAAAATACCACCAGCAGAAGGAAGCAAAGTCACGAGACACTTTTCAATGACTTTCCCAAACACTGAAAAATGACAGATGTGTGCAGCAGAGATGTGGTAAGAGCACCTAGTGAATTGAAGCAAAAGCTTCCAGCTTCGACTCCCATCTCTGTCATGTGTGGTTACACTGAGATCAGGGATATCTAGTGTTTGCTGTACTTGGTCTCCCAGCTGTAAAACACAGGACACATTCCTGTCTCATAGGAGGAAGCAAGGGTTAAAAAACCATTAACACATTGTGTTCAAGCACTTACCTGAGTCTCCTCCAGCAGCCAGGGGGAAAGGAACAGACCCTGGCAAAATTTTGACCTTTTTGCTCGTACACATAAGTGCCTAATTTAGGCCAGAGAAAACAAGGTGAAAGAAGTTGATAGCAGTCTGGTGGTAAGCCAGCCTACTGATGCTGCCTATTCTAACAAACCTCAGTCTGACAGAAATACTCCCACGTTCACAACACTGAAGTATTAGATGACTCGATATTTATAGGATTCTTTTTTAAAAATAAAGTTGGCTGTGTTAGGTTGGGGTCTGGGGATTTTATTATTTTTTTTAACCTTATAGAACATTAGCATAGCTCAAGCCAATGGCTGAAAGACTCAGATCTTTATATCCAGACTACTTCTTGTGTAGCTGAAAACAAACGTGTATCTATGATGTTATCTGCAGCCTACAAAAAAGCCTCTCAGAGCTGTCAGATCTATATAATAGAAAACTCCATTCAATTACACATTTTTCTTCAGATTTCATTGCAACATTCCTACAAGTCCTTTCAAATGTAGGCAACAACATGTTTTACATATTGAAACAAATTACTGTGAATGCAATGTCAGTTTATTCACTATTATGCCCAAGATTCATGTACGCATGTCACTTCTTATGGGTACATCAGATGCTTAATCTGTACCTGGAGGTAATGAATCCTATACAAATATGTCATGTTAGTTAACAGACAATTATTAAGCTGAAATTTTCTGGCTCTTTGCCACATCATTTTAAGCAATGTATTGTCAACTAAATTATAAATCTCTTGACCCTTCACATGTCATCAACATTTGTGCATTACCAATATGTTCAGCCTAAAGCTACAATGCAATTAGTCATTTAAATTGCAGATCTCTTTCACATATAAGAAGAATTAAGTTCATCTCTAGCACAGAGAAGGCACGA